TCTAGCCTAACATTTGAAAGGGCCTAATACAGAGGATTTTCCTGCATTTCGAATGGTGTTTTAATAAATGAAAACTCTAGTGTTTTTGTTTAGTGCATAATTTATTTTCCTATAATTCTCCATACATAATTTGAGTTTTTCATTGATTATTAGTCTATCGGAAACAGAGTGAAATTTTTCGGAGTTTCCTTTGAATGTGAAAATCGCTTAGTAGAAATTATGTTTTGAGAAATAGGTACAAAACAATGAAATTTTTGTGTACCAGGTATAGTTTTTACATGACTGAACAGCTCCTTGAGTTCATCGGACATCTTTGTGTATTGATCATTTGATATGAAGCAGAAGTTCAATTTTGTTATGCTTGTATCTGTTTGTTTAACTGCCCAGTCATACAGTTCTTGTGGAGTTGTGATTGTGTTTCCATAATCTCGAGCAAGACTTGCTCTCTTTGCCATTCGTTTGAGAGTTCCTCCAATTGCGTCACATGGGCCTTTCCCATGAGACATTGCGAAGAAATGCCATTCTGCTTCCAATCCATACTTGGACTTGAAGTTGCACAAACTGGCAAAATTCTTTTTATTTTTGTAATGAGCCGCTGCTCCATCTAACATGAAAGTAATTTTTGTGAAACTAATAGATTGTTTAATGAAATCTAACAATTTTGATATAAATAATTGAACTGCTATTGTATCATGGGTCAATACTTCTGAAATAATAATAAAGCTTAAATTTTCCAACTTGTTTTCTTTTATGTAGTAAATTTCGAAAGGATGTATCGTAGCTTGATTATTGTTCCAATGATACCCCTGTGCTGAGTTTTGAATAATAAATGAATAATTTTCAGAAAAGTCGCAAATCACTAAAATTTCACCGTTTTGAAGAGAATTTTTTTTTATTACTTAGGTAAGATGATTGCTCTTTTTGAATAAAATCATGGGTTATGAGCTTTTCAACTTTTTCCGTCAAATATTGAACAAACTCATCTGCAGGTTTAATAATAGTTTCCAAATTACAACGGTCGGTAGTCAACCACTGTTGAAATAAAACTTCTTCCATATCATCTGCTTCTAATACTGATGTAAGTTCCCTCACGATACTATCTGTGGAAATGCATTCTTCACATGTACGATAAAAACAATCTATGGTTCTAATAGGACTACTGCAAAGTATTTTGTCTGCAATTTCTTTATATGAATCAAATTTTACACTATTAATAATCAATTTAACATTTTCATGTATAGTACAGACACATACATTATGTGTACCTGTACTATCCAACAGTATGCAATGCTTTGGTCGGAGCTGAGTGAACGAAGTAAATCCTATTTTAACACTTTTGTATTTCTCTTCAAAAATCATAAAAGCCTCTTTAAGAGACATCATCAATAAACGTTTCTGAACATGCTCTTTATATCCATTTCGATATTCAGAAACATAATCATTACTTCCTGGCATAGGCCTACTAATATCATCACTGTCAAAGAAATTTAAAACAATTTGTTTTTCAGTATCATTAAATCCATGACCACTTCTTGCTTTCTTACTACAAAGAATACCTTGTTCTCTGACTAGCCTTTTCATCTGTTTCACTGTATGATGGGGTGCATTAAACTCATTAACTATTTGATTCACTGACCATGATTTAGGGAGCACTGATAACACTTTTAATTTGTCATTTGTACTCGTAGAAGGCAAATTAAATTTCTCCTTTAACTGCATGATCATTTCGTCAAAATCATTTGATTTGTTGACATCGTCTGAATCCATCCCAAATATATTTTTACGCACTGCCTTTGTGATCTCTGCAGATTTTTGAACACGATAATTCATACTTCTCATACTTCTCGATGAAATTGGTGATAACTGTAAGGTTGAAGCTATACAATTGAATTGTTCCACATTATATGGACCTTGGATCTGATCCGCTGATGGGATTGATTCTAGCGATGGATCTGTATCTGTAAAATTAAAGAAAAGAAAAAAAAATATTACCACACATTAATATATAACGCTGTTAAGGTGATAGTACCATGAACGGGGGTGGTTTTGATAATAGGGGTAACTTTGGTAATGCAGCTAAGCCAAAAATTTATGACTTAAGGCACATCGTACGCAATATTTTGGATAGAAAACCGATGTTTCCTTCCAAAATAATGAATACGAAGAGCATTAAGTCATAACTTTTTGGATTAGCTGCATTATCAAAGTTACCTCCATTATCAAAGACATCCCCGTTTACGGTACATCGAAGCCGCATCTGAATTTTCCCCATGTTTGTGGAGCACGAGCTGCATAAACCGCATATCGTACAGTCGTGAAAATTTGATAGATTGTTCACCGAGGTTGGCCTACCAATCGATCAAATTTGTACGATAAGCGGTTCATCCAGCTCGTGCTCTAAAAAAATGTTGAAAATGAAGTTGTATCTTCGATGTACAATCCTTAAACCACACAGTTGAAACAGTTAAAGTTATTATTATTTACCTAGTGTATCATCAAATTCCTGATGTTCTGATTGCTGATGACTTGTTGATGGTTGCGGCTCTTCAAACTTCCGAGCATGGCTTGATTCTTTTCCATCCGATCGCCTCTTTTTCGGGAGAGGTGTCCTATTGTGCACTAAAATTCCACGACACGATTCACAAATACGCATTGTTACATCCAATTGATGATCAAAGCCCCATGAATGTATTTTCTCTATGAGACTTGATGATAAATTACGTAAATTATTGCGGCTGCAATTGGGATTGTTTATGTTGGCACTACATTGCACCCTTTTAATAATCAATTCAGCAGATTTTTCCATTGTTGTATATATAAACACTTTTTCGTTTCAACAACTATGCAGCACTACACTTTCAACAACTATGCACTACAGCAACTATGAGCATTGTTGTGATATCACCAAACTTAAATATTAGATTATGTCGGTAGAAACAGACTGCGGTGCTTTAAGTTTATACCTTATATCTCTCATGTGACTACCTGCGTTGTTATATAACTGCTATATAGCAGGTAACTTGACGGTTATTTTAGGCATGCCTTAAATAATCGTTAAGTTACCTGCGCTATTATATGTATTCACTTGAGAGATGAGGTATAAACATATATGCATATTGCTTACTAATGGACACACCTAATACATAAAAATAAATGAATGATTATTTTTCTAATTAAATCAATCACAAATACATGAATTGAAATCTTTTCATGAATAAAACATACTAAGTGATTTTTACTTAGTTTACCTGTTGATTTGGAACAATTTGAGGGTGGTTTTATAGAAGTTGGATAGAGTGTATGCATATATTATAATACAATCCATCACAGGAAAGTGCAAACCATGCTGAGATGGCTGTTCCTCATTAGAACGTTTTGTTCTGAACTCTTATTGGACGATTTGCAGGTAACTTCTCTGTACCCTTTTCAAATGTTAGGCTAGATTTTGCCCAGATTATCGAAAAGTACACCCATAAAGTTTAATCGAATTTTAATAAGGTTGTTTCGACTTTGAGTGAAACACGCTAAAAAAAAATTAACATGAAAAAGTTGTTGTTCGAACAACTTTTTTTCCTTAAAAGCACCCACTTTGCGATGTATGAAGAAAAGTTAGGTAATTATATTGCCTTTCATGAGAAAAAATATCAAGCAAATCTGAGGGGTACCATTTTTGGGAAAATGACTTTTAATTTTTAAATATATTTTTTTAGAGTGTAGAAACCGATTTTTTATTTTATTTAAATTTTTTTATAAAATTTCAGATTATTTGCTAAAAGTTCGCCATACATCACTTTTTTGTAAGGCTTGTCATTTTTAAGCTATATCGATTTGAAAAAAAAATCGACAAAAAACTTTGACCCTTATCAAATGTTAGGCGAGATAAATTTTGAAAAAAATAAGTACGCAAAGTTGCTTAAAATTGCTAAGTCTCCACACCCACAAAGTCCATAAGGTTCTGAGAGGGTGCTGCCAACCACTGGATGAGTTGGCGTGAAATCCGTCTAATGGGACTGTTATGCCGCACAGGGCAGTATAGCTCCTAATCATTATACTCAAAGAGATTATAACAATCATTATTCATAATCATGAATAATTGTAAATTTAGGTTTATTCATTAGTCATAGTCACTAATAATATCGAAGTTAATCATTCATAGAAAACCTTTAATCCTTAACGCTCTACTCCTTGATGCTTCTCTAGTTAGGCTTGTAGAACATTACAGCGAATGTTCCAAAACAGCAACAGATCTAAAAATGTAAGTATCGATACAAGCCACTGTTGCTTATCTCTAGTTGAAACTTAACCTCATTTTATTCCATACCACATGTTCAACCAGACTATATAGGCATCATCATCATAACCATCCATACTATCGCCGTAATCTTGTTTTAGCATATACACTAGGGTGAGCAAACTTACCAATCCACTGCTGCCCACTGCTCTTTCGATCTGAATTGAGGCTCCTAACAGCTGTGCCAAATTTGAACGAATTTCGCTACGATCTGGATTTTCTGGAGAATTTTAAAGTTTGTATGGGAAAACTCATGAGAAACGGAACAAGACTGTCAAAAATTCATTGCTCAATTTTACCAAAATTTTGATTGGGGAAACTAAGCAGAACAGTTCTGGGTAGTTTTCCCAACCTACGTTTAAGGTTTGGTCGAAACTTTGAGATGTTTGAATTTTCGGCAAGCTAAAGAACAGTTTTGTTCCGTTTCCCAGATCCAGATCCAGATGGTACCATTCAAAGTTGGCACAGATGTTGCGGACCTCAATATAGATCAAAAGAACAGTGGGAGCGGGGGGTTGTGATCTACCAAACAAACTATATCCACCCTAATATACACATGCCGGCATACACGTGCCCGGAAATTGGATGCGGGTAAGTAGGACTACTCGTGACAAACCAGGATGGTTTGGGCTGGGATATTTTTTTTCTCTATGCTGTTCGGTTCTCACCAACAACACCCAAATAGAATTAGTATTAGACCAACACTTACATCTGTTACAGTCTGCAGGGCGAGGATGTAGTAAACTTCCGTCGTTACCAATTCCCAGATAGCAGATTGAATTTTTGTCTCCGTTTCGCTCATTCCTGGTGGCAATTAAAGTTTTCAATTTCTCTTTTAATGTTTGGGGCAATGATTTTTCATGCACTTACCGTTGTAGTTGACAATATCCGTCCAAGATTGAGGTAAATTTTTAAGGCCATCTAATGCTTCTAAATAATCTGGGTTATCAAAATTGCTGGCGGAAGACGTCAGTTTTGGTATGCCCTTATTGTAGCTGTCCAGCAATTCGCATAGTTTTGATTTTTGTGGTCCCTGCGAGAATGAAACACTAGACTGATTGCAATTAAAATTATATTTTCTCCTGTTTACCTTTGATCCGAACGATATTGTCCATTTTTGCTTGGATTGCTTATTGGATGAGCTGGAGGATGCTTTCGGGCTTTGGTCGTACGGTTCGTCGGTGGAAGTGGACGTGAAGAGACGGTTCGATGTTGACCGATAGCCTACGGAGGCAGCTTTCTGCAGTGTGACGTGGCCTCCCGACCGCCGGCTGGTACTTTCTTTGTCAGTAATGCTCACCGTCCGTCCGGCTAAGCTCGAAATATCGGTGTATGCATCGAGTGGTAACAAGTAGGGGATGCCTGCTTTGCACAAGTACAATATACTGAATTAATCAATTTTGTCGTTTTAAGCACAACTGCACTCACCTAGCTCGTGTGAATTGCTGAAGCCATTATCCGTCACACAGATCTGGGAGAAACTGAGGCTTCGTTGAGACAGTGAGGAATACAGAGAATCCCTGTTGGTGAAGAAATTAAAAACAGAAAAAAAAGGAAAAATGGATTTGTAATACTAAAACGTCCGTCGGTTTAAATAAGAGTGACAATTTTAATTAATTCTTTATCAAAGAGCATCTGCACCGGATGTGAATAGAAGGCCCCCAGGAATGGTCTGGTTGACACTAATAGAATGAGACAGTCATGCATTTTTGAACTTTTCTTCCTTTTATTGCAGGAGATCGAGGATGAATGGGAATTTGCGTTTCCATTTCGAAAATAAGTTTGATTGAAAAATGTATTCATTAGTGAAGCGCAAAAAGCACCATCCCCCATTCTATTTGAATTTCCCGGTCCCAAGGTCCCCAGAGTCGAGACAAAATGTAGGTGTGGATTCTCCCAAGTTGCATTCTCTTTATGCACCAATGTGTTGGTAACCGTTGAATTTTTCATCAGATCTGATTATTCTGTTTGTCTTCCTCGGTAGGTACGTACAAACAGCCAACGTTTTCTCCGCCTTTACCTAAACGGTAAAGTGCTAAATCGCATTCAAACAACAAGATTTGTAAACACAATATTTAACTTTCTCTTCGGTTGACCCGTCAAAGCCAGTTTACAGCTTAGGGAGCATTGGAAGCTACAACCAACGTAAATTCCATTTGGCGGATGAATGGCAGTAGATCGGAAAATTTCATCCACCACAAAACATTTTATATATTCAAGAAAGTTTGCCGTTTGTCACAAACAAGATTAAATCACCGCATATAATTTGCTGTGTTTTGCTCTGGTTCAGCTGATCCGTTCATGGTTAGGATGTTTTTGATGGAATTTTAATTTTTAATCAATTTATCCAATTTAAGCTTGTTGTGTTTCAGTTCCTTTTGTGCATACATATAAATGATATTCTTAGTTGGAAAATATTTGTTTTAATCCTTCATCTTAACACAATGATTTCTAATGATTTATTTATTTATTTATAGTTTTGTCTTCGATTAAATCACACAAACTACTCTACCAATTCTTAATCCTATTTCTGAAAACAATCTCATAAATCATAATCATAATGGACGTAAACATCGTTGAAAGGTTTTCAGGGAAGAGTTTAGTGGGTTGTTCTGACCATAGGCGGTTCTATGTGTTTGATACTATGTTTGGGTTGGAATATCATTTGCCCAAGGTTTATAATTTATTTGCCCAAGTGAGCGCTCATGACTTATGAATTCGCGAAGAGAGAGTCACATCTGAAAGCGAAATTGGTAAGTTTTAACATATACTTTACAACCTCTTCTTGCAACTTACAAGTCCAAACCGTGGGCGGTCAATCATGCTCATGCTCATGCTCTTTTTGCAACTTACAAGTCCAAAATATCATTATTGCATCTAAGGGTCTAAGTCCAAAATATCATTATAACATCCATAAATGACATAGCATATTTTAAATCCATTTTAGACCCCCTCCCCAACCCTCTCTCGTAGCGTATTTTGCGATACCTTATACATGGCCGTTCATAATTACGCATCCTCCCTAAAATGCAACGTCATTTAGGCATGTTCCCTAATTATTCAATAATTCTGTAAAAAGAATATGTGAAGTGAGTGGAAGCAACCCTCTTTGCAAGTCTTTTACCGAGCTACATGCGTCTACCAAGTCGGAATTAGCATTGATTGAATCAGTGTTGCTTACTGGACTGCAGCAGCAGAATCATTTCGTTACGGTGAAGCTTCCCAAGTAACCAAAAGCTCAACAATAAAACTCACTTCCAAGTTCCATAAAGTTCAAATAAAGTTCCGACAGAACCTTCAAGTTCCATAAAGTTCCGACAGGGACACCTCTCACCATCCCTCTTCAAAGGGGGAGTTTGGTAAAGAGAGATGATAAAACCGATTTGTACCTTCCTAAAATATGCAATTTTCACACTGCCGTACTCTAAACGGAACTATCAATTCTATACTTTCATCTCCTCCTCATATGCTTATGCTAGGGTATACGTCCCTAACCTCGGTCTAATATGCAGCCATCGATTACGTTTTTAATCATAACTCATCAATGAATTTACATGCAAACGATATTCTACTGCTAAATGGTATGCTTAGATATGCTTATCATGTCGTTTGCTATCAGAAACCACGAAAAGTTGAAAAACTTACTTTTTTTAAGACAATAACTCACGAGGGAAATGTATGTAATATGGGTCTATTGTCCCCAAATTGGGTCTATTTATGGATGCAACTTCGTCCTATCTTGTTTGATCCTCAAAAAAACGCTCTTGGTAACGTTTTCTGATGTATTTTTTTTTATCACTATCACTGTTAACTTAATGCTCTTCATTCCTCAAAACATTTCTTAGAGAAAATTTTACGAAAACTACATTAAATCACTCAATTTAAAAATTAAAAATTAAAAATTTCGCTTATCGTCTTTTGACCGCAGAATATCTAAATCAGAACATTGTGATGTTCATTATACAGGTTTGGCAGAAAAAATCTCCCTTCCTGTTCGTTCCTTATCATCCAAATGCAAAACAACATTGTTGACGTTACTCTTATTGCTATATGCTGTCAAATGAATTTCATGGGCCATAGTTAGGAACATAGAAAAGAAATGTGTCCCTAAAGTTGGGTCCATGTTTTACTTGTGAAAACGTTGTTAAACAATTAAAATAAACATAAAATATTCAAACAGCAACTGTAAGTTTTACGTCTAGTGTGTATTATCAGGTAATTCCAATCAATAAATGCCATAATCAGGCCATTTGATGATCGTCAGTCAACCTTCCCATCTTAACCTTATAAGTCATGGCGGCTAAAAACTCCGAACATTGTGATATTCTCAACCAGTTTTATTACTTACGAGAGCTGAAAATGTATTGAAATGTTGTGATATAAATTGATTTGTGTGTGGTACACATTTATCAACCATTAGTGATCAATATTTTCCTTATTTTTTGTGTAATATTCCTTAATTAATTATTTATTTGCGTGATAGGCCGAATGAAAGGACTAGACCCACATTACATACCGTAACCCTATATATACTTTAGTCTGTTATTTGAAATTAGCATCTTCAACTATGTAAATCGTTGACTTCACGCGGAAGTAATACTAAACATATAGTCAAAGTAAAAAATATCCTATTTTGCGAGATCTTAACAGGTGTCCCCATTTAAGCTGCTTTGTGGCTAGCCCCACTCTGGGATTTAGGAAACATTTGAAATGAGAGTTGCAACAATAACCTGAATTCAGTGGTTTCAAAAATTTTTTGCAGTCTTGGAGTTCACAAAATTTTAAAATGTCTTAAGGTATCAAAATTTTTCAACTTTGAAAAATGTATTTGTAATTAAGTTCTGGCATTCGAACCATGGCTGAAAAATTAAAAATAATGTAATATGGTTGAAATATACTTTAACATTTTCATTTAACTCCGCATTTCAAGTAGCATTCGAATGTGCTGTGACAAAATCATTTCCGGCCAAATTACTAATAATTTAGCACCTGCTTCAACTTAGCTAGATTATGAATTTATTTTATCTTGCTCTTTACGACAATTACACGCTGATTTAGGTTGCCCTAAACTTATCCTGTTTAGAAACTTACGCAAGGCAAATTCCTTTCGTTGCTGGGATCATGACTTCATCTCGAAAACCATTGTTATCGCTGGCTTCGAAATATACCGAGAAGTACTCTGAACTGGAAACCTTGAAAGTTGAAAGAGGGGAGTCAGCGTTGTTGTTTTTTTTTTCGGTTTGGTTCATTCATGGTAAGAATCCGTTTCCAGCAATCCAAAGTTGAGATTTCCCATGATGTCGGCGTGAAGTTTTTTTTTTTTGATTTCGTTGTTTCCATTCCAGCAGATTGCATGAGGTGAGGGATTTTGTTAATTTATTTTGGCAGTTCGGAGGTTATAGTTGAGATTTTTTGTTTTGTTTGTTTGATCAGCCAGAACACACCGGGGATGAGTACAAAGGTAGGATTCATGCAAAAAAGAGAAAGAGGATACAGAAATTCATTAGTTATATTATAGTTTCATCAATTTTATTGGGTTGAGCATGGTGACGCTATTTTTGCAACCATAGCGATTTACAGGCAAAGTTTGGAGAAAACCGGAGAACTTCGAGATTAGGGCGTAATTGCTTTTGTAAATCACTGATTTCTCGCGAACTAAAGCTCAATCTCTAAAACTAACAACATAAACAGGTAGAGGAATAACTCCTCTATCATTTAGTATAGTTTGTTTGCTTGCGTGATTGAGCTTTTATTCGCAAGCGATCGGCGATTGAAGTATTTGTTTACAAAAACAATTACGCTCTAATCTCAAAGATCTCCGGAAATGGTGGATTCACGAAAACGCAAACCGTTCGTTAATGTATTTATTTGAATTAATTTATATGATGCATATAAATTTTATGCAACGTAGTGCAAATTGATATTTTCATTTATAGATTTAAGGATACCATTTCAGCAAGCCCCCTTAAAGGCACCAGTCGTAGTTGCCACCATTCTTCTTCATGTCTTCCTTGATTAAAATTGATATAAATAAAAGAGGCAATTCGAATCCAGTTAAATGACAGCTTATCTCTTAGGTGCTTAATTTCAGAGATGTGTGCAGAATACTTCTGTTACTAATACTATTCACATCATTTAATTATTTTTCGTTCATATAGCACTAAAAATTTTACAGTACTTCTAAACACACTTTTAGTGCATATGAAGCCAGGAAATTTGTAACGCGTTATACTTTTCATTTGGTTTTTCTAGATGTAATTATACAGATTAGTTTTCTATTTTCCCAATTTTGTGCGATTGAAAATAATAATCGAATCCATTGCGAAACGAACAATTTTATAGTTTGAAGGCTGCGGAATGAAACAAGTAATAGACCCATTCCAAGTGACGTGACACGCAGATTTTCGGCTCGACGTTTGGCTTAAATAAATGTCATAATACTCAAAACAGCAAAGAAAAAGATATCTTCCATTTAATTTCACTTAACTTTTTTTTGTATGTATGTATTTCGACTACAATGTACAATCTTCATCAGTGTCATTTTTTTATTCAAGTAATTTTAACGCTCTTGGATCATTCGTGACTTGTCCGGAATGAGATTTGAACTCGAAAATTTGGCGTGAGAGGTATGGATCAGGGTTGTTAATCGATAACTCGATAACGTCTTTTCGTTAACGTCTGCAATGGGAAATTATCATAGCAAACGTTAACGAAAAGACGTTGTCGAGTTATCGATTAACAAACCTGGTATGGATACTAACCGCTACGCCGAGATAGCCCCCAGTGTAATTTTATACTTCATGATTAACTTTGTTTTCCATGCAACAGTTATGAATAGAGTCACTAACAAACAGTGTTGGAAAAGTTTGCGATATTTCACGAAGTTCACCAAGGGAAAAGTTCGCGAGTCATAGTGAGTTTTCGCGAACTTTTCCATCACTGCTAACAAACAATTGCTACTAGAAGTGAAACACTGCGTGACTTGACAAGGCGCCTAAAAATATTTTTTTCCAGCTTTATCTCTGTTCTAATAGAAATTGGCTGGTAAACATAAATGTTTTGATATAACTTAGATAATTACCAATATGATTTCCATACTTTATCTAAAGCTAAACTCAATTCAAAGTAATAACAACACTGAAACTAATCAATGAAAACGAAAAGATTCCTGGTTGAATTGATTACTCAGTGTTTTTAATAAGAAGATTTACATTTTCTCTTTAAGAAGCAGACATTGAAATCTCTAGGTCTCCGGAAAACGTGTAACGGCAAGTTTGCAATGGCATAGCGTAGCCATTTCTTAGTGAATTTTAAAAATTGTAGTACCTCTAAAATTCCTAGGATCTGTAGATTATATTGATTGTAAAAAGATTAAAAATAGGGTCGTCTACTTTTTTTTAGTAGTGAAAAGAGTAGTTGCACGTTGTTTTGGAAGGTATGTTTATGGGTTTTGCAAGTGACTTAAGATCTATAATTTTGATTAATAGGGGAAATGGCTCTAATGTTGGCCTATGGATCTAAGATTGGGCCCATCGCTAAAAATCTAGTTAATGCTATTTATCAATTGTATCTAGATAAACGCGTCATTGGGACGGTACTAGTGGATATTTTTGGTTGCTATTGAAAATTTAATCGATTGCTGAAGTTATGTATGGGTCCAAATTAGGGACACTTAGGCCGACATTACATACATTTCCTCTACTATTTTTTTCCTTGATTTGTTTTCCGTCGATCTTGTTTTCCGTGCTGAGCACCAATGCTACCGACGCCAGGGAGGCATCTCTGGACCCTACCTATCGACCCATCAACTTAAAGACCGGGCCCAATGGCTTTACTTCCCTTTCGAATCCCGGCGGCGCCGACTGGGATTGAACCTAGGCTTGCTGGGGTGAGAGGTAATCACGCTTACCACTTCACCACCGGTGCTGCTGTTTGATTAAAACTAATGGTCATAATTAGCCTAAATACAGTCATGGTTCGTATAGTATATATGGATCCTGGATAAAACGGAACGATCCTTCGGAAGATCCGGAACATCCGTAAAAGTGGAAAATCTACAAACCTGATCCTAGAGCTCAGTATTTTTTTTTTGAATACATTAGGTCACAAACAAACATTGGTCGGGACATAAACAAGGACCCGGATGGCGATGGGACCGTCCTTGGGAAGATCCGGAACATCCCAGTTCCAAGTTTTTTCGTCAAAACCTCGGGGGTCAGTTTCATGGATTTACCACTTTTATGGATATTCAAGATCTTCCAGAGGACAGTCTCATGGCCATCTAGATCTATTTTTACGTCTTGACCCAAAATTCTTTCATATTGCAGTTCCAAGTGTTTAAAAATGATCTACGGAGCTCTAGGATCAGTTTCACAGATTGATCAATTTACGGATGTTCTGGATCTTTCGGATGACAGTCCCATCCGGGTCCATGTTTATGTCAAGACCCTAAATTCTATCTTATATCACAGTTCCAAGAGCTTTCCAAAAAACCGCGGTTTTTTCACAGTTTCATGGATGAACCACTTTTATGGATGTTCCGGATCTTCCGGAGGGCAGTTCAATGGCCATTCAGGTTCATGTTTATGTCATGACCCCAAATTCTTTCATATTGCACAAAGTGTTTTCGAAAAAACCGCGGAGCTCTTGGTCATTCAGGTACATGTTTATGTCACCACCTCCAAATTCATTCTTATATCACAGTTCCTAATCTTGTTGAAAAAACTGCAGAGCTCTAGGATCAGTTTCATTGATTGACCCAGTTTAATTGATGATAGCATGTGGAACGCTACTACAACGCATCGCTTGTTGAGCAGAAAAACGTTCCATTTTTTGATTCACTGATTTGTTTGCACTTTTCCTTCTGTTCTGTGGTCAGTTTTATTGATTGACCACTTTTATGGATATTCCGGATCTTACGGAGGACGGTTCATTGGCCATCTGGGTCCATGTTTATGTCACGACCCCAAATTATTTCTTATATCACAGTTCCTAATGTAAAAAAAAAACCGCGTAGCTCTAGGATCAGTTTCATGAATTTACTACAACCCCAAATTCTTTCATATATCACAGTTCCTAATGTTTTCGAAAAAACCATTGACCATTTTTACGGATGTTCCGGATATGTCCAGGACAGTTCCGTTGTTTCCAGGATCCAAATATAGTATTCTGGCTAATAGTGAACTTTAACTGTTTGTTTTATATTACTTCTGCGTGAAGTCAGCGATTTACATAGTTGAAGATGCTAATTTCAAATAACAGACTAGAGTGGTAATTTTTATACGATTTATGAAGAGATGAAAGTATAGTGTTGATAGTTCCGTTAGAGTACGGCAGTGTGAAATTGTATATATATATAGAGAAGAAACCGAGCAAGGGCAACTTTTATGAATGAAAGTACAAATCGGTTTGATCATCTCTCTTTATCAAACTCTCCCGTTGGAGATGGATGGTGAGGGGCCACCACTGGCTAGTACTGGATAGTACTCTAATGAAACTTTCAACTCTATACTTTCATCTCCTCATCTATCGTTTAAAAATTACCACTCTGTTATTTGAAATTAGCATCTTCAACTATGTAATTATGAACATTTGTGCCCATTAAACGTTTTTCGGAGGCTTCGTAGCCGGCGTAAAGTTGTTTGCCCACCGTATTCGAAGTGTTAATCACTAATGTAACCGGTTACAATATTTTAATAGCAGTGTATTATAACAGTATTTGTAAATAATCACCGGAAAATATAAGATTCTATAACAGGTTTGCATAAAAAGTATGCATACTTTTTCGTGAAGGTGTTATACGAAAATATTCAATCTGGACAAACTTGCTTACATGCCACAAGAACTGCCATTAAATAAGTAAGCGATGGGGCATTATTTTTTTTGCCATTTTTCGATCACTTTTTCGGAGGGACGAATCATCTTTTGTAAACAATGCATTTGATCGTCAATTTGGCGTAACTAGTAGCTCGCACACGCATCCTAACACCACTATCAGTTAGGGGAAAACTTTCCTTGTCTGACGATAGTGTTAGCATGCGTGCCAGTTACGCCAAATCGACGATAAAATGCATTGTTTAAAAACGCTGATACGTCCCTTTGAAAAAGTAATCGAGATTTGTTTAGCGTGAACAAATACGTACACAAGTGCGTGGCGTGGTTTGCATAGACCTGTGCATGGGTGAGCTTTAGTTCATCTACTGAAAAAAATTGACTCAACAGCGGGGCCCTGTTTACTAAAAATGAACACATGAATAATGCTCGCATAACATTTGAAAATGGATTATCAATTTTTCTAAACAACTTGCAAGGTCCTTTTCACGAGAACCGAGGTATGCTTACGTAAACCAAGAGCACTGTCGGGAAGGGGAGAATTTCTCCTACCCGATGGTGTTGTTAGTTTGCGTGGGCGTATTCGGTTCGCACGAAAAAGGCTTAACAAGTTTTGTGTACATAAGTTGATAGACCCGTTTCAAATATTACGCGAGTATTATTCATGTGTTCATTTTCAGTAAACAGGGCCCCACTGTTGTGTCACTTTTTGTCGAGCGAGTGAACTCAAATCCATCCGTGCACTCGTCTATTAGGGTTTGCTCCATAGACGAGTGCACGGATATATTTTAGTTCACTCACTCGACAAAAAGTGACACAATAGAGGGGCCCTGTTTACTAAAAATGAACACATGAATAATACTCGCATAACATTTGAAACGGGCCTGTCAACTTTATTACACAAAACTTGTTAAGTCCTCTTCGCGCGAACCGAATACGCAAACTAACAACACCATCGGATAGGGGAAATTCTCCCCTTCCCGATAGTGCTCTTGGTTTGCGTGGGTGTACTTCAGTTCTGGTGAAAAGGACTTAGCAAGTTGTTTACAAAAGTTGATAGGAACTTTTCAAATGTTATGCAAGCGTTATTCATGTGTTAATTTTTAGTAAACAGGGCCCCGCTGTTGTGTCAATTTTTGTTCAGTAGATGAACAAAGGTTCACCCGTGCACTCGTCTATTCTGCACCTTTGCGTAATAAAAGACAACGAATAAATGTCAAATATTAATAAAAGCTCAGCTTCTGTTCATGGCAGTCATCTACAGCTTTCTTGAACTTTCTTTCATTTAATGAAGCAAATGGTGGACTACAAAAGTTATTCTTATTTCGGTTAAGCACTCGAGGCCAGCATGAAGTATTGAAAATTACGTGATGTCTAAGCTTCTGCATGAAAAATAACGCCTGAGCAAATCCATGCCCAATAGCTAAAAAATAAACGAATTGATGATTTTACCTCTCAGAATTTCATGAAACTTTGCATAATTTTTCGTTAAGGGCAATGCACTAAGGATGCGCTGGAGTTTGCTATTTTGATTCTCGACTAATGTTAAAAAATGGGCATATTTGATTTTTTCAATATAGCACAGCCCAAAAACGACTAATCTAATCGGAGTAACATCTTAGATAAAGATGTAGGCAACTGGATTCCTATTACAGAAAATAAAACACAACCTAAAAAAACTAAATAAAGCCAAAAAAAAAAAAAATAATAAAAAAAAAAATTAAAAATAAAGGATTTTTTTTTGATTTATAAACTGCTCTATTAAATGATCTACGGTATTGGTCAATATTTAAGTGTCCAATATCAGAAAAGTTAGCATTTTTGATAAGCTTTAAAAAATATTTGTTTTTCTTTGCAATATTTTTTTTTCCTAATAAGACATTTCAGTTTCCTACAACTTTGTCTAAGACATCATTTATATTAGATGGACCGTTTTCGTGCTATAATCTGAAAAAAATTATCGAATACGCCATTTTGAAAAATTAGGCGAGAATCAAATTGGCTGGTTTCCAGCACAAACTTGGTTCATTGTCCCTAGTGAACAATTATGCGAAATTTCATGGAACTGTTCGTCAGTAGGCGTGGATTTGCACGCCTCAGATATTTCGCAGGTCGCTTGTTTGTTAAAAATAACAATATCAGTGTTTCAGAAACCATTACAGTAATGACCCGATTTCATCTTCCCTGTTTATGAAAATCTTTTCTAATTTTCTACGAAGTCTATGTACTTTTTCAGTGTTCTTATTGCTTCAAAGTATATATTAAACATTCATGTTGAAGATGAATGAGAAAGGTTTGGAATTACTGTTATGTGAAATTATTGATAGATAAAAGTTTGATTTGCGATAGGGCTGAAAAAATCGGGTCATTAAATAAGAAAGATGAAAAATAATTGTGTGCAATTATTTGGCAAACTCAAACCGCATCTGTGATTGCAAAATTCCGGAGAATTTTGAGGTTTGGGCGTAATTGTTTTTGTTAACAAACACTTTAATCGCCGATTTGTCACGAATAAAAGAACAATCTCGCAACCAAACTATACCAAATGATAGAGGAACCATTCCACTACCTGTTTGTGGTGTAAGTTTTTTAAATTGAGCTTTAATTCGCCAGAAATCGGCAAATGACTTGTTTGTTTACAAACGCAATTACGCCCTGATCTCGAGGTTCTCCGGAATTGTTGGATTTCGCAAGAACTATCTTATGGGTAGCTGCGCTAGAATGGCTGAATCCTGTATCCGGATGCATAGCTACTCAGATTTAATTTCTCCGCTAATTCTTGCGTAGCGTCGGACTACTGAAAATAACAATATAATAGCTGAAACCGTTTCTCAACACAAAAAAAATCACTCATTTGATCGAACTGTTCCATTTGTAGGTAATAAAATCTTCAGTTCTCAACTTTCCCAATGTTATTTTTACCTAGAAGTGGAAGAAAAATGAATAGAGGCATGACCAACTTTTGCATTCAACTTTTTCTAGCGAATGTAGAAGCAACGACAATAGAGAAAAAAAAACTAAACAGAAAAACTTCCACAAAAGCTGGTACTTACTTGACTTCGGGTCAGTACCGGTTTTTTGCGTTCACGGTGCAGAAACGACGAGGACTTCTTTTTGAGCGATGTAGACGTAGACAAGGACTTGTTCTTGGGGCAGGACGGGGAAACCAGGCAGCAGGTTTGATTGGAATTTTCGTTGCTGGTGCTGCTGGTCGTACTCTCGCCACATGTCGCAACAGCAACACCTTCCCCGGTGCCACCATCCTGCAGACTGTCAACTTTAGTCCCGATAGGGCAATTTCCGTCACCATTGTCGTAAGCAGGATTTATGCAGCCCCCGTCACTGTCACTCAATCCGATAAGTGCACTACCGGAGGTCGTCGCCACTAGCAGCGTTGACTCCTTACCCGATGGGGATAGCACCGTTTCACCTGGGCTTGGACCTTCGGTACTGCTTTGATAGCAGATGCTGCTGCCCACCACTCGGCTGCCATAACCTATCGATCCCGACGCGGATGCTATTGATGTATTGGACGTATCCGAGTTGTCATTCTGTGGTTCGTTTTTGCGGTGTCGTTAGTTTTGTCAGGTTTGGCATCGGTCGGTGGTGGGTGGTCAATTGGCAACGGTGACGATGAAAAATGAGTTTTCGATATGTTTTGTATTTTGTTTTGCGAAATTCATGTTGCAGAAAAAATGATTGCAATCATCCATAACACACACGAAAGCATTCAAGAGGAGAGATAAAAAGAACGAGAGTGAGAGAAGAAGTCGAGTGAAGCAGTTGTAAAAGTCAGAGGTCGTAAAACTCATGAACTGTAAGTACAGTTAATCGTATTTATTCGATCCAGTTACTATTGAGGGTAATTGCCAATTATTATAGTTGTGACATCTAAAGCAGCAAGCAGTACTAGATATTATAGGCAGGCATGAGCGTGGGATAGAATGAAGCGTGGGTAAAAATAATGAGCTTGTAATTAAATTGCCTAAACACGTTACAACTGACATATATAATTGATTTATAAATTGTTATGTATGGGAGCTTCAATAGGTTCAAAGCTCGATTATACATTCGAGTATTTGGATAAGCTTTGGTCCGCTTCTATCTCAGCGCCCATTTTATATTTATACTTAATTTCGACACCATGTGTTGAGTGTTGAGACAAGAAGGTATCTTTTTTTTTAATAATGTGGTGAAGATGTCTTTTGGTTTTTGTCTTTGGTCTCCAGTTTTTAAGGTGACTGGTAGTTTCAACGGGTCTATGAGAGCAGCTAAATATATACATGAAGATGAAGAAATTTTTGTGACTGACTAATCGACAAAACCTTTGATTGATACTAATTTACGGAAGATGCATTTTTTTTTAAATTATTTAAATGAGTCATATTTTATTCTTTTGTTGATCTCAAATTGGTAGTTCATGCAACCACTCATTTCCTACTAAGTACACCCTTCAAGTTTTAGTTTTCTCAGGCAAGGTCTAGTGCCACGGCTGCATCCATTAGAATTGATAAGGCTCCATCAATTGTGCTTGCTTAAATTATGCTAATTTTGCGCTCGTTCAAAATTGATGGCAGTTGCTTAAGAATTATCAAGATCAATTACATAAACTGTTGAGCAAGGGCTTAGTTGACTGACTTTCAATTATTCAAATTTATACACTCCGGTTGTTCTATGATCAAACATATTCAACAGTTGTGAGTCAGTTTAGCTGTGTGGAAGCATGTAGTAAAATAGCAGAAAATCACTTGCTTTGTATAATTTCTTGGTATCTTTCGCTTTTGCTCAGTGGTGCTGTTTAACCAAAATAGAACGTTTTTCAAAATTTGTCCACAAAATGTAAGATATGTTGTTATTTTAAGCGTACTTGGTGTTTCTCATACACTTTTTATAGTTGATTAACTAAGATCAAACCAAAAAAACGTGTTTCTTTTCGTTATGCCCAGGGGAGAGTAAATTTAGTTTAATTGCGCTGAACTCATTGGAATTGAAATGCATATAGATAAATTGATACTAGAAAATTAGGTATTGAACTGTTATACATTGCTGGAAACCTAGCTCAACTTTCAAAAGCATTTAAAGGATGATGGCTGTATAATATTTCGACAATGAGCATGCATAAGGGCGTAAACGGAATGATCAATTCTCTTCGTCGATTTTCTCTATTGTTAACAACTCGCTTGGATTAAAATTTCTCGGTGCGTTCGTTGTTGCTTTTGATGGCCAATACAACCTGTTACAGCACTGTATTGGACAAATTTCAGAAAATAGCTTCCCTTAACTGCAGCAATTTAAAGAGCATGCTCACTGTCGATTTTTTCTTATCCGTACAACCAGAATAAGAGCATATTTCAAGATGAACATAGCATTAGTTCCCAAGTAACATTGACAGATTCTCTTCGTCGACTTTCTCTTTGTATCCCCACAGGCATGTAAAGACATTCCCAGGTATTTTCAGCACACATATTGATAAAAGAAGATTTTATCTAGCATCTAATACGACACAACACGACACAGCAAGAAATGGATATGTGTTCATTATTAACGAAAGAGAAAGTGAACGAAGACAATCGATAAATGTTACTTAGGATCTAATGCAATGTTAAGCTTGATTTCTCTGTATGAATAATTTACAATCAGAACAAAATAAAAAAAGAGAAAAATCTGTGGTACGATACGAAACAACAAATGAGTTGAAAAACACTGAGAGTTGATCACCACTTTTTCCTCGCAACTGGTAGGTGTAAAACATAAAAGTGATGTGAAACATAGATCATAATGTGTTGCCATTTACAGCCACTGATATGTCACGAGACGTCTGCACTTTAGTTCACTTGAGAAGTAAAACGAATGTCACCGCTACATTCATGGTTGAGTGAGTGGGGAAAGTTGGTGAGGATGTGGGAGGTAGAAGATGATGTAAAGCAATCAACATTCTTTTTGACATAAATTTGTAGGTGTTGGATTTAGAAGTGCTATGAAAATGATTGATATGACAGAACTTAAAATGATTGAATTTATTGTATTCATCATGATTCTTGGAGTAGAAAGAATGCACAGTGGACCAGTAATAAAATATAGGGGGACATAATGGATAATTCCGAAACGAAGCGTATCTATTACTTGGTGTCTTCGGAGAAGTTCCTTGATATAATGAAGGCATAAATAGATAGTTTGAATCTGTTCCTTATAAAATCCATCGATTTACTCTTACTCTTCAGAAACTTGTTTATTTAAAAAAAAATCATCAAATCTTCTGAAGACATCAAAATTACATAGCCTACTGTTATCGAGTTATATGGATAAATACCCACATAGAAAATAACAGTAAGAGCTCTAATAAACAAATACCATAAACGAACGGTGACCCGGATGGTAGAAAGATGTCACAAAAGGTTTTGATCATAACCCAGACTTGTTAAGCTTTTTCTTATGGTTATTTTTTATTAGGGAAGTGCCTAAACACCTATTCCGGTATTACTTCAACCGTATGAGATGTGTTTGAAACAGTTATGGTATTTTTCGGTAATGTCATCAAAGATGCTATAAGCCTCTAGAATGATGATACAAAATTCAGGATGTCTTGTTACAGTTTTGTGCTGAACAAGAAATTTAGCAAGCTATATAAAATTGCATTTTTTGAATAACTGCAATATTAGTATTTGTATTCAAAATTAAAATAATGTATACTTTGTAATGAAACGATTTTTTCAGGCCCTCCACGCATCAGACTTTTATCTGCCAATAATTGTACATAACCGAAATTCTAAATCTTTCTCATTATTATTCAAGATGCATGTTTAATCTATACTTTGGTGCAAGAGTACCACTGAAAAGCGCATATTTGTCGTAGAACATAAGAACATATTTTCAAAATGAAGGCTGACAAAATCAATTTTTTCATGATTCTAAAGGGTGTTACGATTAAAATTAGGTCAAACAAGAATTCATGAAATTTAAAAGAAAATCTTTTTTAGTTCAGGCAATACAGGCAAATGTGTTTAACTCCTGCCATCTGATTCTGTGAACGCCAGTTTGCCTTAAAATGCTTCTCGCTTCCAATAGTTTGTTGGGTCTTCTTCAGATTCCGCTTGACGATGGCCCAATATTTTTCGATTGAGCGAAGTTCTGGCGTATTGGAAGGGTTCTTGTCCTTGGGCACATTGTTTTCGGTATGGCCTTTTTCCGTAACGGGAGGATGTCAAATCCGGACAAAACAGCATTTAAAATCGTGTCACTTCAGGAAAGGCAGCAGACGCTTTCCACACAGTCGTTCACGTAAATTTGCTGGTTGACGGTCCCGGTTGTTATTAAAATGTCGCTTTTCAAGCCACAAGTACAGATACCCTGCCAAACCAGATATTTATTAGCGAAATAATAAAAAATGTCTGCCACCTTTCCCCTTCCGGTTGATGTATAAAACTCCTGGATGCTGTTTCAAGTCTGCCATTTTGATAACTGAATAGCAAATGTCAAAATCAAAATAGAGGTATCATTCTGCACGCACACACCTACAACATAAGAGATGCTCAGGTTTTTTAAATGCGCAATTAAAAGAAATGCGTCAAGTTTATGTCGATAAAATTTTGATCGTTACACCCTTTAATAGCCATGCGAGTCGTGAGTCACGGTTCTTGAGTGCGTACAGAACCATCTCGTTGGAAGCAGTATCGATAGATGTCGGAAGTGGACATCGATAGGACATGGGTCACGGCGGAGTACGGACAACACAGGTTAATACCTAGAGCTTCTATTTCCCGGTGGTTTCCACCATCTCGGGATTCGGGAAATATTTATTTGATATCCCGGGAAATCCCGGGAAGTGAACAAAGATAGTAAATTGTTTTAATATTCGTATGTTTCATCTCCTTCAAAGAAAGATTAAAAAATGGAGATTCCTACAAAACTAGGGATACCAGTTTTAAAAACATATCTTCATTTTGAAGACATTGAAAATTCTGTGAAGGTATTTTTTCATGCAGACATTTTGAAAACATCTCATGATTTGTAAAGTTGTTTCAAGACATGCGGAAGTTGAAGCAGGCTTCCGATGATTTTTTTTCTAATTTTAAGCTGGTATATGAAGATTTTTGTTAAATAAATAAAGTTTTTGACTTCATATTTTAAGCTTCTTCCTGAATATGTTGAATATGAATAATGTAACCAAATTCGGATATTTCAGAATAAAACATGATCAAATTGAATATTCACAGGACTTCACTGAAAGATTCCATTAGCTGGAGACCTTTTGAATACTTCCTGATCAACGTACAGTTTTGGGAGAATATCTTCAAAATAATACTTGATCAACCTGAAGCCTTGAAAAATATCCAGAGGACTTTATTGTGATCTTCGATCAGCTAGAGATCTTTAAGTACTTCTTAACCGATCTGCCAGCTTGAGAGAGCCAATTGAATGTTTGACTAGCTTAAGATCTTCAGATTTCCTGTTCAACCTGAATTCACTAATATCTGACCAACCAGCAATCTTGAGAGACTATCAAGAGACGTTATTTGAATTTTATGAACAGTTGAATATCTTAAGAATAATA